CGAAGACATGATGGAAATACTAAACTAAGGGAAACTGACAGATTAGGCAACTTATCAGAAAAAGGCGCAGTATGAAAGACGCTTTCAACGATAATTAGAAAACAGAACTAAACAGCTCTTCGATCGCGGAAACGTAGCTGGCATATGCCTCCGGCTTCGTTGGGCATTGATAACGATTGCTGAAGAAAATCTGAAGGGAGACGGAGAGCAGCGTGGACCAGCTTTAGGCTCCTGGATAAAGCCACCGACTGACTCACGGACCTCAGTATCGAACCAGATGATGACCAACTACAATGACCGTACTTCTAACGCTCTGTTGCGCAACAACGTGATCTGACAATGTGGCTGTGGTTGAAGGCCTTTTGAAAACTAATAGAGCGCAACAACATTTCTAAGATGCAACAGATGCATAACTCCTGCGCGGACTTCGCAATTCAAGAATGTGATCAGTGTCCTGTCTACGTGATCCAGCAAAAACCTTTTTGAACCGAAACATGGGTGGTCCGATCAATTAATAAAAAAGAGCACGGAGAGGTCAAGAACGGGAATAAATTCTTCACAAAGTAAAATGTCTTAGAGAGGTATCATCAATTATGGGCTGACTACTTGTTCCACGGAAGGGGATCTTGTACGCATAATCCATAATGCTCAATGTTGGGACTTGCACAGTGAGTGAAAGCTATCTAAATAAGTATAATTCAGGCTGCTGCCGAAGCATTCCGACTGGGTTCCCCATGGCGCACAATGGATGCAGCGGACCGTGGTATTCTCCTGAACAAGCTTGCTGATCTCATGGAACGGGATCATGTCATTCTTGCAGTAAGTATAAAGTTGCGCCAAAGCTACGATAGAAAACTCTACCGAAATACTTTTCAGTCCTTAGAAGCTCTCGATAACGGGAAGCCATACGGTATGGCATATGCAATCGATGTCGCATTAGCGATAGCTTGCATCAGGTAAGGCTATATTTTTGGAATAACACAAGAAGATCTGGCAATAAGGTGGATTCTTTCCACATTGTACCTTAGGGCGTGTACTCTACTATGCTGTTAGCGCTAATCGCTTTTTCCACCGGTTTCGCTTTGGCCCTTGCTTCAGATATCTATAAATTTTCCACCTTTAGATGTGACAGAAATTCGGTACATATTTGAAGCTTGGAGGGCGAGCCGAACTGGCGCAAAAGCGACGGCGTAATATTCGGACCCTTAATCGAATCACAATTACATAAGAACAACTACAAAGTGAACAGATCACTCAGGTAGTATAGTTCATTATATAGGTACTATGCTGGATATGCCGATAAGTATCATGGAAAAACAATTCCCATCAGAGGTAACTTTTTCACCTACACGCGACACGAGGCAGTTGGAATCTGCGGACAGATTATCCCAGTATGTTGAGACTTCTTTTAACTAAAA